TTTTTTTGTGGTTTTTTTTTTGTTTTTGCTTTAGGTTTGGTTTTTGTAAGTTTAACTCCAAAGATTAGGTATTAAAGGGTAGCAATTGCAAAAAGTGGAGAGATAGGACAATAGATGTTTGGTAGGAAAGGAGCCGACCACACCAGATCAGACGCCAACCACAATATTTAGTTTTCTGGTTTTTTCTTGTTTTCTTTTAGGAAATTACGTGGTATGGACCGAAACCAGTATTTAGCGACGGCATTAATCGATTCGATGTGTGCCAGGGAGAGCTCGGTAAGTATGTGAAGCAGCGTGGTGAAATCGGGCCCTCGTCAAAATACAGAAATCCGAATAACAGGACTTTTTCCATAAGTCTGGAAATTTTTATCGAATTTTTAGTTTTGGACTCAACCTCTTAGGTCCATATAAAAACACATTTCCATGCGAATTTTACTGGAAAAACTTATAAGGCATGTATTTTTGTTTTAAAGGACTCTTTAGCTATTGCAGTTATCAAACTTTTGCGGCTATTTTCTCGCTGATTTTATCACTGAAACGAGGCGACCTCACTTCTTCAATCGCAGATATTGAGTTTTATTCAAGATGGATACTTATTCCATTGGAAACAGGCAAATTAATCAGCTTTCAGATGATACTAACTCCACATGCTCAAAAATTGACGAGCGCCTGATTCCATCGCGTTGTGATACATATGTTCCTTTTTTTTTTAAAGTGAGTTTAGTCATTTATTTGAATTCTTTGACTTCACAAATGGAAGAGAATGTTCTTACGCACTTGACCTTCGATGAGTTTAGAAACGGCACGATAATTATATAGCGTGCTTTGGCTTGCGTCTTGGTTAAAATTTAGATATTATACCCTGTCAGATGGGCTGTATTTTCAAAGCAACTCCTTAAATGTACTATTTATAGCCTTTGCTGTATTCTAATGGGGGAGGAGGGGGGGTTATTGGTGTCTAGTGTAATGTTTAGGTACATTACTGTCGCACTCAGGAGACCCAGAGTTCAACCCCCCCCCCTCCTCCCCCAACCTCCTATCTTGGTAGTTCTTCTGGGATGTTGGGTATCGCTCTCGGCCCGAGTTTTCCCAGAAGTGCAGGGTCGGAAGCCCGCCTCCTAAATGATCCAAATAGAGAGGGGCGTAGTCTTTTTTCGCATTGGTTTACTCTGAAGTATGTGTGTGGGAGGGGGAGAAGGGGTGATATATGGTCTGGGTTTTCCTTTTTTAAACCATTGTTACCACCCATTTACTGTTTTTTCCTGGTTTTAAGTGTTCTGCCCGTTTCAATACTCATCTATTTAATTTGAAGATAACGTTCGAACCAGGATTATCCACTTCGTAGTCCAGCATAACAAAATATGAGCGTTTTGAGATCAACTTCATTCTGTGGTGTAATGAGATTTTATGTTATGACTGTTCGGGTGTTCAGTTCCCCTAACTAATTTGTACTCTTAACGGATTAGCCTGTGCACCTCTGCCTTTGTCCGTGTCTGGGTCTGTCTATCTCTATCTGTCTGTCTGCGTTCTGTCTGTCTGGGTGTCTGCGTATGTGCGTTTTGTTTCTGTCTGTCTGTCTGCATGTGTCTGCGCATGGTGTTGGAAAGAGCCCCGGCGATGTCTGTTCCTCCTGCAATTTTTTTGTTGTAGTCGCAGTCTTGGTCTATGTGTTCTTGTGATGTGGCCTTTCCCAAGAGGGACTATAATACTCAAGCTCTTATCTTACTTCTGTCTTTCTCCGATTCTTTCCCTTCTTCCTGCTCTTGAAAAAAAAAACATTACTTTTATAATGATTTGGTCGCTTTTAAAGACAAGCGGGCTAACCCAGATTTCGGAAGATTCCAGATATCTTGACCTACACCAAAAGTAGGCTTTGCCATGCCCTACCTATTGAAGTTTGTTGGTTTCATTGGTGTGTATATTTGTTTGGTTATAGAGAGAACTTAGACGTTACCTTCGATTTCTCAAAACAGTTTTTTTCGGGATAGCCCCTTGTGCTTTAAAGCGACCATTTAATAGAGGAAACAAGGTTTTACTGCAATTTCATCTTTCCAAATCGTAAAATGTCACCATTGTTATGACGGAACATTGCCGGTTTCTGTGGGTGGTTGGCGGGTGCTCTTGTGTGATCTGCTTCTTTCCTATCAAAAGTATTCGTCCTTCTCTCTCCTTTTTTGTTTGTTACTCTCTTGTAACGTGTAATCTTCGACATTTGTATGACCTTATTGTGTTGCAAGTGCCGTAAAACTTTTACTAAAACTATTTAAAATTTTGACATTCTTTCAGCTGATTGTTGGTTTGTGGCTGCTATGGCGTGTTTGTGCAGTCGCCCAGAGTACAGGCCGCTGTTTGAGAGGGTGGTGGATCCTAATCAGAGCTTTCAGGATGACTGGTACGCTGGGGTTTTCCGCTTCAACTTCTGGCGTTTTGGCCAATGGGAACAAGTCCTTATAGATGACCTTCTACCTACTAGAGGAGGACACCTTGTCTATTCCTATTCTCCGCACAGAAATGAATTCTGGCCTGCACTGATGGAAAAAGCCTATGCTAAGTATGTATACTCTTAAGATGATACGGATTATTTTTGGCCTAATGTGTGTTCACTGTATGTACGGATGGCAGACCTGCCCTTGAATAACTGTTTTGGTACAGAAGAGGGGTATTGTGCGTACGGGGGAGGGGGGGGGGTGTTGTCAGGCTTCGTTAAGGCTGTGGATGGGCTCATTGGGGTGGAAGGTGACACGGGATGAGGGTTGTAAGTGTAAAGATATAAAATTTGTTTCTTTTGATTTCTGGCCTTAACTTCACTAATGATGAATGGTAATTGACGTTTAACTGTCCATGTCGCCTTGTGGCTACTTGAATCAAGATTAAGTGAAAGCATTAAGATTGTATGCCATATTGCGCTATACTTTTGGGCTCTAAGAGCATAATTTTAGTAATTGGGCCTATGCTTGTCGTTTTTCAGAGTCAATGGATCTTTTGAAGGTCTCAGTCTAGGATTTCTTTTGGACTCGCTGACAGATCTGACTGGAGGTCTAGCTGAATTCTATAGGCTGCATGGTCCTGACGCTGACTTTCCCAAAAACATTCACAAAATTATACACAGAGCACTGGAAAGGCAGTCTATAATAGGCTGTAACATATTGGTGAGTTGGTGTTCTTTTATATTTATATCTGTCCTGGTTATTTCTGTTAATTTTTGTCTTGATATACAAACAATGTTACATGTTTTGGAGGTGAATTTGAGCTTTTCTTTGACAGAACTCAGGAAGGGGTGTCGAAGCGCTGCGCCCGAACGGACTGTTGGAAGCGCATGCCTACACGATTGGAGACATCAGGGAGGTGAGAGATGAATGTTGCATGTACATGTCTATATGGGGGAGGGGGGTGTCTGTGTCTCTCTGTATCTCCGTGTTTATGTGCATGTATTTAAAACGGCGCTCGCCAGCACAGCGCTCGCCAGCACAAGGTATGAGCGCAGGGGACACATCACCCCCCCCCCCCCAATAAGGCAGTGCTACTGACTGACGTGTCTTTAGGCCATTCCCAAAGAGGGGATATTAACTTGTTCTTAGGCACAGTAGAATTTTTAATGGGCTGATTTATCAATGCCATGCTCATAGTGTGCCGGAACATGGAACTGCTTTTTCTTTCCTCATCCTGTCTTTTTTCCTCTTTTGTGTATTTGTAACTCTCGAACTATTTCTGGGGTGCCTTGATAGTCGAAGCAGATTGTGTGCTGTTGAGACCAGAGGGATGAGCAGAGTAAGCGTGATTCCCCGTCTGGACTTCTCTGACATCCACCCCTTGCCCCTTATATGACCTTACGCTGTTGCGAGCACCGTAAAACTTTACTAAAACGGACCACCAAGGGATCTTTAACTTTGACACAGGACCTTCAAGATCTGTTGAGCTTATCCAAGAAAGCTAGTTGGATCTTCCCTACCATAAGATCAGGTTAGACTGCTTGGACAGCAGTAAGGAGCCAAGGAGTAGCAGTAGATAAGGCTGCAGAGTCAAGAGCCCAGAGGAGGGGGCAAAAAGGAGGGGCTGGTTGCAGAAAGTGTAGACGACCGAACAAGGTTAGAGAGCAGGAATGGTGAAGAGAGAATTTTCCGTCTATGTCCGGTTTCGAACCCGGGACCTATTGAATCAGGGGAAACGCCGTAACCTCTAGAACACGAGAGCCCCCTGTGAGCATCTATGTGGCAATTGGAGTTTCATTGTGCAAGGTGGGGCCCTGTTCTTACTAGTGTATTTGGTGGCTGGAAGGGAAGGGGTGCAGGGGGGATAAATAGGCCAAATCTCTGCTCTGGATTGTCTGGGAGTGGGGGGGGGGTGTCCATCAATTCATGGGAATATTTATTCAAGGGTGGGGGGGGGGGAACTTTAATAATTACCATTTCCTTGAGCAATGCGGGCGAGATCGGACCAAGGCCTGCTCTAGATAATAGAAACTTTAACTTTTAATTTAGACCTAGCACTTATTTGTTTGTACTAATTTGATTGATAAAGGTAAAAGGAATGGTTAGTAATTAACATGTTTATGCAATTATTTCTGCAGATTGAGTATGGACAGAATCGAGAGAATAAAGTGATTTTGATAAAAGTTCGAAACCCGCTCGGAGATTCTATGGAATGGAACGGCAGATGGAATGAACGGTGAGACGTCTATTGTGCTACGTTTTTGTTTCCAAAAGTATTTTAAGTTGGTAGGCATTAGGTTGTTCTATGAACCGTTTTCCTCAGTTTAAGTGTTTATGAAAATGAATTTTTCGTTATAATCATTTGACCATTAGGTTGTAATTGATCCATGACCAGAGTCCACTATGACTGATATCGTTATGTATGAAAATTTCGATTCCACTTTAATTTTCAGTCAATTATGTCCTAAAGTGGTTTCCACTGGAATGAAATTTTGGCTTCCTCCTGGTTCTCTGAAATAGTAAGAAGTTAAAACTTTCGTTTATGTGAACATGCTATCCTCAGAAAACTAGTGCCTAAACAAAGTGGTGCCTCAAGGTTATTTCTTTGATTCCGTTTGGGCTGAGGGAAAAAATGATTACACTATTTTCTTTTGCTTTATTCCATTCTAGTTCAGACGAATGGCAGCAGATTTCTCCGGAGCTAAGAAAGGACCTCGTGATCAGTAAACCAGATGGAGAATTTTGGTAATTTTTCAATCTTCTCTTTAGTTGTGTTTGGGGATATAAATGCATTTGAATCTACCCGTTCAAGACAAAAGTTTAATGTTTGTATGAACTACCACTTCCTGCTCCGTCCCTCACCCCTTGCGTTTCAATTTTACATGAGGACTTGACCTAGAGAACCACCTGCCTAAAATGACCGCAATTCACCTCAACAATGGATGTTTTGTGTTGGACAAGTTTGACTTATTCCCCCCCCCCCTCCCAATATACATATTGTCAGGCAAAAAATTCTAGTTTGGGCCATCCTTCAATACCACTGGTTGGGCTTTGAAACAGCTTGAAATCTTCCACACGGAGGGGGGGGGGGGGTGATGAGTATACTTAATGTTCCCAAACAGCTAATGCAGCCCCTTCAATAATGGAAGGTCCTGCGTTTGTGCTGTGATATACAGGGTTCATAATGTCCTCTCGATTGGGTGATATACAGGGTTCATAATGTCCTCTCGATTGGTTCGACATTTTTTACTTTAAAATAATCCGTGACCAGTTTAGCATCAATTTCAATATTAAAAATAATTTCAATGCCTAATAAGGCAACGTCAATAGAACACTGCCCATGGATCACAATCATGTCGTATAGGCCTAGATGAAAGATTTCGTCTGTACAGTGTACTGCTAAACCGGTGTGGACTACTTTATGAATGTGTCACCGTGCTGTGGAATCGGGCGCTCATCAATATTGAGGAAGTTATTTGTATCGTCTTAAAGTCTATTCCATTTGTCCTGCTATCGATGAAAAAACATTCCATATCTCATATAGAAGTTTAATATTTGGAATTGAAGGTGGGATCGCCTGATTTCGGGGGTAAAATAAACGAGAAGTGTGACCTTCAAAGCTTGGGGGTCTTTGAAATTGCATATTTACATATTTTTTTGGTGCATATAAATATATGCACCTTTTTTTGTACAGTAAAATCCGTTTTTAAAATCTGCACAGCAACGTTTTTAAAATGAACGTAAATGGTGGCTAGTAAAAAAATCTATAAAAATGGCCAAAGACAAACGCGGATTTAAGATTTTCATTTTGAAGAGCGCCTGATTACACCACGATGTCTCACAAATGTCGAATATGCTTGAACAATGTTGGATGTTCTTAACATTTTGCTTTTTGTATCACAGGATGGAATTTGGGGACTTTCAAGAGCAATTTGACGATGTCATTATTTGTAACTTGACACCGGATTCACCTGTAGATTTCAAGAAGAAATGGTTCAGTGTGGATCATCATGGACGATGGACAAAGTATTTTAACGCTGGAGGGAGTTCTTCTTCTCCAAGTAAGACTAGACCCATGTATATGAAACGTCAAAGACGCAAGATAAATCAGTTTCTGATCTTCAGAATTAAACTCATAAAAGCAAAGGTATTGCAAATGAAAAAAATCTTGTTGACTTTTGGAGAGCAATAAAAATATCTTTCTGTTGTGTCATTTGTCTACACTCATCAGCACGTATGTTGTTATACTTTAAAGAAAGGCTGACTTGGAATTTTGGAAAGATTTAAGAAATGAGATAGGCAAGGCAAAGGCTTTTAGAGTGCGGTTATTCAATATTACAAAATGTGATTTTGTAACTGAATAAAATGGGACAGCAAATGACTCATTTTTGTTCTTCTCTAGAACACTGGTCCAACCCACAGTACCTCCTGAAGCTTGAGGACACAGATGAAGATGATGACAATATGTGCAGTGTTGTTATTCAACTTATGCAAAAGGATCGGAGGAAAATCAAAAGGCAGGATATTCGTGCAAGGTTTTTGAACATTGGCTTCTATGTCTACAAGGTAATTTTACAGGGTGCATATATATTTTACAAGGTGCATTTTATATGCTGTAGAATAGCTTCCTTTGCCTTTACAGACTTCAACATAACTTAAGGACCAGTTGCAAACTCTTGAGTGGTCTTATTGGGTCGACCTGCACGTGTGCGTTCTTGGACTGATCCAGTGGCTTGATGGCGCTGCTTCAGGTGGACAATGACAAGAGTGTGACACTGCAAGCCTCCTGGCAATTTCTCGGGCTTCAACTCCATCCTGCAGCCATGCCATAGCTTTGGGACGACCAAGTCTCTCAGCTTTAGTCTCGGTGGCATGTTGATGCGCTACTGGATTTTGCTCAAACCGCGGCTTTATATTGCCACCAAGTGAGCACAGTTCGATACCGTACGTCCGTTTATGACGTGTACCAGAAATTTTAACCGAGGAATGTACAGGATAATAAAACAGCAAATTTGCCTGAACTTCCCTGAGGATTTCCGTGCTGCACATGGTTTTGCCCCATCAGGAAGCTTTGCTGTACGCTTCGGTAACCCATTAACACTTTTATAGCAAAAAATGTTGATACATTCCTTGCTGTCTTTTTCTCGGATTTTAAGAAATCTGGTCTGTCTCTCAAGGTGGTCCCTAACTTATGTGAATTCTGTAAAATAGCCCCAGCCCAGTCTACCATTCCAGTACAATGCAAACTTCCGCCTTCCACGAATATTAGTGCACGTATCGCCAGAGCACGTATCGCCAGAGCACGTATCACTAGAGCACGTAGCAATCTCATAAAAATGAGTTCGCTCTTTGTTACAAATCTTTTTGTTTGTAACTGTTTGCCTCGCAGTAACAATTTGTCTGGGTCAGCACGCTGTCTGGTACAGACGTTTTACTTTAATTCTACGTTTTACTTTAATTCTGTCTTGTTTTATTGTACGAGAGCTTGTTTTTCTACATTGTGGAGAAAGCTGATGGACGTTCAGGAACCTGTATTTTTTCTTAGCTCTTTACTTCTCCAAGAATGGTCAATGTTGACCTTATGCAGTTGAGAGCGGCGTAAACTCTTACTAAACATGGTCAATGCAGTTACTCCAGAGGCTTAGTTTTGGGACACTTTTGGGTGTGTTTATCTCCAAATGTTGCTCCTTTCCATGTTTCAGATCCCAGAAGGTTTGTCTCCTCCACTGAAAAAAGAATTCTTTCAACACAATAAATCCGTCGCAAGCGCTGGGGATCACAGTCGACAGGTCACGAAGCGGCTGACCTTGTCACCCGGCAAATACGTTGTTGTGCCGTGTACCTTTAATGCAGAAGAAGAGGGGGACTTTTACCTGAGGTTCTTCTTTGAAAAGGGACAGGTTTCAGAGTAAGTCATGTGGGTTGTGTTGTGCGATGATTGAATGATCGATGGGCCCTGCTCCATCTACTTTTCTGGTTTACTCTAATATTGAAGTCTGCAAAAATGTATTCTTGTTTAATAGAGTATAAAATTTATAGTTATAGTTGCCGGTGTATATATACATAGATCTACACTGAAATTAAAATTGTAAATACAAACGTAAATGTCTTTACCTTATTAACACAAATTTTCATAAATGTCTGTCCGTCCTTTTAATACGATGATATGACCGTGTGCAGTTGTCGGCGCCTAAAAACTCTTACTAAAGCATAACATGATGATAGATTTGTTGCAGTAAAACTTGTTGGCACTTGCATGACCAAAATTGAGTCCATAGTGCCGTAAAACGCACTTTGTCTTTGATAGGTCATTGGCCTTTACGGAAAATTGTAAATGCATATATTTTGATTTTAAGCAGATTACCATTTTTTACCTGAACGAAGCCGTGCAAATAACTGTTGTGAATGCAACCAACTTGTGTTTTGCATGCACGCTCGTAACGTTTTTCTGATAATAAAAACATTTAGGGTTTGCTCTTCAGTTATCATGGTGCAACGAAGGTGAAAGTGGTTATTGGACAATATTATCTGAAAAGATAATTCGTAAAGATAGATTTGAAGAATGTGTTTGAAATTGCGTCCCTTTTATTTCCAACAGGTATTTAGATCAGAAAACGGGAGCCCCAAACATTTTGGAACCAACTCCTTCTCCAGAATGGAAAGAAAAAGAACAAACATTCAGGGACTTTTTTTACAAAGTTTCCGGAGAGGTAAGCTGCTTGAGCTTTCTTAGATCTAGATCTAGTTGCTGTGTTGTCCACATTGTGAGGGGATGAGTTAGTCCGTCACCAGCTTGTCGCCAACCCGTTAACGTGCCGTTGACACTCCGGCGTTCAGAAAACAGGTTGTCAACAAGAACGGCAACGTATTGGGTGTCAAAAAGTTTACATCCATCCTGCGTCCGTATAAGCGCTGTCGGGTTACTTGGGAATATGCAGCTGAAATCTCTTGAAAATTTGTTTAGAGACGTTGTTTGATAATGGGTTCATAGAATCCACAAACGGAGTAAAACTAATGGCGAGTTCCATCACCTCGTAGATGAAGTTTTGAATAAGCGCACATCATTCCTTCCAATGAAATCAAGCACGTTTTACTTGCTGCTAGATTTGATAGGAGCCTATGTCATAGAGGAAAATATTCCCGTCCAGGACCAAGCTCGTTTCCTCGGCGTCATTTTCGACAAAAAACTTACATTCATACCACACATCAAAGACCTTCGTGTGAGGTGCCAGAAAGCGTTA